CCCGAGGCGTCGCAGCTCCTCCACACATACAGTAACAGTTCTCCCGGGAGCCCCCTCTGAGCTTCCTCAGGCTGGAAAGGGTTAATGGAAGTCACACCACTTGTGTTTCCATGTGTGCACTGGTCTGATCTAGGAAGGGACATTGGTTAATCTGGAATTAAGTCAGATTGAATCACACACACCGATGTCAAAACTGGTTCAGGAAAAAAAAAAAAAAACCAAGAAAAAAAAAAACCCCAACTACCTGAAATCACAGAACTTTGGAAGTTCAGAAAAAATGTCTCTCCTATAACTTGTTTTAAGTTCGTTTGCTTAAATCTCTTTTCTTATTTAAAGCCAGTTCCTAACAGTAGTTTTTCCACCTCTGCCAATCTCACCACCAGTGATGCCAGCTCATTTCCTGCGCTCAAAGGATTCCAGGTTGTGGAAGGCGCCGGGCTCGCCAGTGCAGGGTCCACTTCTCCCCGTCCCTCCCCGCAGGGAGCCCTCAAAACTCAGCCTGCAGGTCCCGCAGTCTCTCCCGTACACTGACCGGCAGCAGTCACGTTTTTTTTTTGAGAAGATATATCGGATAAGAAGGCATGAAAGTTCCTCTAAGTACTTCCAGGCTCAGCCCTTCTCCAGTTCTCACTTGAGCGAGTGTCCCACTCCTCCCGCGTCGCCGTCCCTTCACTTCCTCCGGTCTTTCTGTTTCCTCTCCTGCCGCCGGGCCTGCTGGTCAGCCACGGCGCGAGGTATCAAAATGACGCTGCCATCGCTGGCGTACTGCAGGGCGTACTGGCTGGGGGAGTAGGGCTGGCCGTTCTCGTCCCGCAGGCGGCCGAACACTTCCTGGTAGAGGTTCTGCACCTTTTGCTTCATCTGGCGGATGGATTTGAGGAATTCTACCTTCTCCCTGAGCAGTTTGGACTTGTCCCGTTGCAAGTCCTCGACGTCCCGTTCCAAGTTCAGGATGGTGTCCAGTTTCCTCTTGCGGCAGTTCTGGGCAGCCATCTTGTTCTTGCCTCGCCTCCTGATGTCGCGGATCAGGCTCAGCTGCGCCTCGCTGAGCTGGTACTTGGAGAGGAGCTCATTGAACTCCTCCACAGGCAGGTTGATGATCTTGTCGTTGGTGAAAGGGATCTTCATGGCTCTGGCTCGATGCTCGTCCCTGCTCATCTGCTTGTCCAGGAACTCGGACGGCTTCTCTTTGCTGCTCTTCTTCCCCGCGCTGGGCAGTTTGGGCTCCTCGGGATCCAGGGCCCCTGGCGCCATGTTATAGGTGTGGTTGTGGCCAACGTGCTCCAGGTAAGGCAAGTAATGGAGCTGCGATGGGTCCTGGTAGCTCATGCGGCAGAACTTGCTGTACTCTGGCTGGTATCCAACCGCCCCTTCTGCTTCTTCAAAGTCCACGTTTTCAGAGTCTGAGCTGTAGCCGACAGCTCCTTCCTCAGAAAACGAGGAGGAGGAAGAGGATGAGGACGAAGAGGACGAGGAGGAGGAAGAGGAGGCTTCTGAGCTGCTCAGAGAAGCAGGACTGTGGCCAGAATCCAGAGAAAGACCTGAGTCGGAATCAAACTCCTCTTCCAGCTGCGAGGCCTGCACCGGGTTGAAACCTTCTTCAATCGCCAAGTCCATCAAGCTGATCTCATCAAGCATGGCTTCATCTAGAAGACCTCCCAGCGGGTCTGGCAGCTCGGGGCCAGCCGTCTCGTTGACTGTGCTGTTCAACTGCGGAGGGAAGAAGATGCCGCTCAAGTTGGTGGAGCCGAAAGTGGTGTTGAGGCCGGTGGAGTTGTCCGGCGCCAGCTGGAGCAGGGCCGAGCTGCCAGCCATAGAGGGGCTTTCGATTTCTGAGCTGAAGAGGGAGAAGTCCTGTGAGCAGCTACCCAGAGAGGCCTGATGCAGGCTGACATTCTGATTGATGGGAGTGTTCGGAGCGAGGCTGTAGTTAGAAGTCAGCAGGTCTCCGCTCGTGCCGTTGTACAGGTTTTCAGCAGTTGTGTTGTTCACTTCCATAGCCTGGAAGAGATGCGAAACAGCTCAGTAAACGAGCCACGCTCGAGCCCTGCCTTCACTCCTGGTGCATGCCAGAAAGAAACAGGACAATGCTTCTAGACCCCATGGAAGGGGCTCTCTCCAGTGGCCCAGCTGCAGGAGGGTTCAGACAGCAGCAGCAACCGCCACACGGGCAGCACAGTGTCACCACACAGGCTGGGGCAAAACTAAAGCAGCTGCAACCAACCCCAAACCGCGACTGCCCAGGAATTGGGTGCTCGGGACAGCCATCGAACCTAAATTCAACAGAGCAGCAACACACGCCTGGAGGGGCAAACGCCTTCCCACAACCCCCCCCCCACCTCGAGCTCACCTGCATTTCCATGATAGACATGAGGTCCTGCCACTGCTGCTCCAGATCGAAGGGCGACTCGGTCTCGGTGAGGAGAGGAGACAGCAGGCTGGTCTGGATGCCCGTGGACCTGCTCTCGCCGGGCACGGCTTCACTCAGGGTGGAGACATCCGCAGCTGGAAACTAACCACGTGAGGCAGAGTCAGTCCCCGGCTGATCAGCCGCGGCCAGGGAGCCGGCAATCCCGCATGCCCTTCCACCTCCACGCGGGCAATCGCTTCTCCTTTGTTCAAAGCAAACTGGTTGCAGTTATTCCTCCACAGTTCACTATGAACTAATTAGAAGCAAAGCCAGAAGTCTTTAATTAATTGTGACCACCCCCCTACTGCTAGTTTCGCAGGCACGATGCCTGGAGCCTCCTTAAGCAAGCTAACCCAATTTACTGCCGGTTCTGCGGTCTGGGTTAGGGGTACAAGAGGCACCGAAACGCCGGCGAGCGAGCGAAGGAGCGTCGCCACCGCCTCCGGATCCACTGAGGGGCAGAAGCCATCGCCCCATCCACTCACCTCCGAATTCTCCCCGAAAGGGAAGGTGGCCTCCAGCAGCCTAAGGCACTCCTCCAGGGACAGGGCTGTCTGATCCTCCGCACCGGGCACCTGAATGTAAAACACAAGCAGTTGTAGCCCCAGGATTAGGGAGGTGGTGATGAGAAACGAGCTCCTTACAGCAGAGCTTTATTACAGCGCATCCAAAAAGAGCCAGAGGCCCCACCCAGTGCTTCGCAGACTCCATCCTCCTGCTCCGGAGAGCGTCAGAGCGGCCCCCGAGCGCAGCGGGGAAAGGAAACGTGCTGCCTCCGCTCCCGGCGAGCCTCACCTACTGCCAGCGCAAGGACTCGGCTACAGGCTGGAGGGGACTCTGCGCCTACTCGCGCCACCGCCTCTGCCAGACGACCGAAAGGCACAGCAAGAACCAGCCGCCCTCGTCCTAGCGTCCTGCCGACGGTGACACGGCCATTACCCTGCCCGCCTTGACTGCGGCTCTCCGGCCCGGCAGGCAGCCTGCGCTTTCCCAGCATCAAATCCTCTCGTCCACCCGGGCAAACCCCTTATCCTGCAGCTCAGCAGAACCCCCAGTGAAAGTCACGTGCGATGCCGCTCGCTCCGACAGCCGGCCGACGGGCCCTTCGCCTCCCCTCTGCCTCGGCGGGAGCACGGACCCCCGGCGCGCTGCATCACCGCGGGCACAGACCCCCAACTCGTCGGGCCCAAGGGTGTTACCTGTGCAGGGAAACTCTCCCCGGTCTCTCCATCAACTAGCAGGTTTCTATCCAAGACCTCATTCCCTCCGCTCCTCCAGCTGTCCCCGCGCTCCCTCCCATCGCTCAGCTCTTTGTCCACTTCGCTCTCTTTCTGACGGTGGCTGTAGTCAAAAATCTCTCGCCCAGCGCCGAGATCAATATCCTGTCTCCACAGGATGTCAATCAAATCGATGTCCTGAAAGACAGACCAGATTTCCTTCAGCCCTGGGCAGGGTCCCCACCCACCGGCCCCTCCCAAGGGACACCCCCCCACCCCTCCTTTCCCGCTCCCACGGGCGAGCACCCCCTTCCTCTCCGCCCGCCTTCCCTCGACAACCCGGGGGGCCTTTTTGCCTCCGGGGGTCCCCGAGAGCTCTTCTGCGGGGCTCTGCATGGCAGGTGACGCCGGCCCATCCCTCCTCGCCTCCCATGAGCCGCCAGTTCTCCACCGGGAGAAACGACTGGGACCACCGGGGCCCCCCGTTAGCGGCGGTGGCGGCTTCGCCCGTGGCCGCCTTGCATCAGCCCGTGGTGCCATCCCGGCCATTTGCATAAGGGGTGGGGTGCGCCGGTAGGAAAATCCCCGCATTTCCACCCACCTGAT